CTATATAATCAGTCTTTTCAGCCGATAATGTAGTATGTAATATATTACTGTATAATTTGAAGTTGGAAGAAATAATGCTAATATTATTTATCAAATATTTTAAAGCAAAAATTTTGACGTTATGTTTACTTCATCTTGTAGTTAAATGGTTCTAATTGTGGCAATGTTTCTTTTATGATTTAAATCTAGTTCATATAATAATTATTATTTATTACTATTTTTCTTGCAGAATTATTACGCCACCTCATCTTAGCAATTATCATTATCAATGATGATATTGGGAAATGGGTTTTCCTTTTTCACACTATTTCTTTGCTTATATGTTTCTCAGTTGACGTCAACGTCAATTAGCACTAACAAAATATTCACTAATTATTCAATTACATTTGTCTCTATTTGATAATCATTTCAGTCATACGCTGCTTGGAAAGAAATCTGAAATTGTCTAATTTATCACAACTTATCAAATCAATTGCAACATTCTTTTCTTATGCATAATAATATTACTGTATGAATGCTAAGCAACAATTAATAGGCGACGAATTGGATTCTTATTTTAATGAGTAAATTTTTTAAATAATTAATCTAACACAGAATAATTTTAGCATAAATGCATGTGTCATTTTTTAAATAATTAATTAATTAGATATTTTTATATCTCAACGTCACTGACAACAATCCTTTTTTAGTTGTGTGAAGCGACATAATGGACCTTCAATGGGATTAAATGGAATGCGTTCAATAGCTAACACATACAATGTAACAAACAGAAATTGGAATAGGAATGAAATGAATAGCAAAAATAATGATAATGTAATTATGAGACCTAAAAAGGTTAGAAAATAAATTAAAATTTTACTCAATTAATTTGTTAGATTTTGTGAAAATTTCAAATTGTATAGATCTTTTATTTTTAAAAATATTGATAGAAGATGCACGTATTGGAATTGATGAACTTGTTAATTAAAAATATTAGATAATTTCTTCTTGCTAATTAAAACATTCGGAGTTATTAAATGAAAAATTAATAATACAAATGGTAACATTTATAAAGTTTGATCGTAAGATTTTTTTTTTAATTTCTAAAATCTGTTAAAATATTTTTACATTTAATTTATATGATTTTATCTCATTTAATTGCATTAATCTCTTTCATCGATTCAGTAAAGAAAGCAGTTGTTTTTTTTTTTTAGTTAAAGGATGTTCAAGAAAAGCAGCAACAAAGGCTGATACGATATCGACCAGTAAGTACGGCTAATTCATATGCTTCTTCACTTGGTAGGTCATTATTCTTCTTTTTTTGAAACATTTTAAAATTAAATGAAATTATTTTTTAAAAAGTGATGTAATGCTTTTAACAATAAAAAATGATAATTTGCTGATTTCATATCGTTACAATAAATAATAATTTCATTCTTGCAAAACGAAAAACGGAAAAAAATGTATAAATGATTTATTCGAAAAAAACAGAACAAATGAAGTTAAGATAAAAGAAACTTAAATGGAATTATTTCTTTCGAATAATATTGGCATTATTATTGTTATTTAAATTATTTGATCTTAAAAGAAATAATAAGATAGTAATATGAATTCGATGAAAAACAGAAAGTCTTCTTAAAGTTGAACCGAACTTTTAGTACAATCAATAATTTAAAATAAGTAACTATGTCATATTTTGCAGATTTTTTTCGATATCTGACCAATAAAATTGCTATAAATGAAAATTGTTAGAGGAATTCTGATTCTGCAATGAGATGCTTTTCTCTTTTTCTTGTACTTTACCATTTGAGTGATGTAAATTTGTACCTTATTTAAATCGACAAAATACGATATTATTAAAATTATGTACCACTTGAGCACTTATTAAAGTAATCTAAATTTGGTTATATTACTCATTGTTTTTGAAACTTTCAAAAGTATAACCTAAATTGAAACTTTCGAAAGTATAACCTAAATTTAGCATCATCCGGTATGACCGATATCAGATGGCGTAACTCACGTGCTTCCCCATGTTCATCACTGTCAACTAGCTGTCAACATATCCATGAATCGCCTAATTTGGTTCGTCATATTTCTATTTTTTAGAAATATTTGAAAGGAAAAATTTTTCCACAGTTGAAATTATAACTTATTTGAGCTCAAATTATCTGTTGGTAATACGGTCCTAATAAAAGTGTAACTATCCAATATCATTCCATTATCATTGGAAAGTTTTGGTTAAAGAGAATTTTAAATTTGGATATTATCATTCTATGCGAATGGTATTTAGAATTTATTTTGTTTCTAATTATTGTGAAATTCAAAAATGCCCGCAATAATTTGCCACTATATTGTTATCATTTGTACGTTAAGACAATTTTCGAAACTTAATAATATGTTTAATTAGGATAAGCTGGAAAATTAGATTGATGACGGTATTGCTTAATATTTGTTTGTTTATTCAGTTTTTCATTCTTCTATTTCCTTATCATTATTATTACTAATAATATTATAAATCAGTATTATTATTAATTTTCATGAGTGTATGTGAATGTATACGCAAATGTTAAAGTTTTAGTGGAAATATGAAGGATATTTGGAAGAAGAAAAAGCTCTAATTAACCGTGGCCTAGAAACTGCGAAACGATTGACTGGTTGGTATTGTGAACGCTTGAAAAGTGTGCAAAAACGGAGCAGTCTATTGGATCGAGGATTGGTACCTGTTGTGAGTGATCTGTCATTTTCGTCGTATCTATTTATGATTTCATTTCTTAAATTTTTTTCTTTTCAAAGAAAAATGCTTTTCACAAAGTTGTTGTTTTATTTGGAAATATTATTATTAAAAATTAACAATAACTTTTATTAAAAAATAAACTTATTTCTAGTTAAAAAAATAAAACAAAAATTTAACCTTTATCATTTTTTCTTTTGTATAATTTACATTCTATAAATAAATGTGATTTTTCATGTTTTAAACTAATTTGTTAAAATTTTTGATTTTGATTTTAAAAACAGATACAATTTTTGATGTATATTTCTGGATAGTAAGACAAGATTAACTTTAGATGCACCTTAGACTAATTATTTCGGACAGTGTTTTTTCATGGCAGTAATCTTCGGAAATATCAAATTTCATGACTTATTTGCTTCACTTGTTCACTCATTGTTTGCTTATTCAATGATTGTTTACTGTTATTTTGTTTTTCCATTCGTTGTTTGCTAATTAGTTTTGTTTATTAATTGCAGGATGGAGCTATACATGAAGAAAAACTGAATTATCTCCGTGCGCATATTGCCGAACTCAATAGACGAATAACATCACTGATAGAAAGCAATGATCATTCTTTTCCAACACATTCTAATTTGCAGGTTCTGATATATTCGACATTTTTCTCGGGTCATAGTGAAGTTTAAAACCGATTTTAACTAACCATAATTTATATTAATTTCGATTAGTGATGAAATATAATGTTAACGGCCAGCGTGTATAAAAAAATGGTATAAAAAGTGGTTATGTGCATAAATTTAAAAAAAAAAATTTGACCTTGAAAAGATCATAAGAATTTGTTAGTCCAGGAAGTAAATATATATTAATTAAAACCAAAAGATTCAATTTTGGAATGATTACATTCTTAGAAGAATTCATTCCTTTTCCTATCATGTTAGCAAAACTTGAATTAGACATCATTCTGAAAATCTTATCGGCGAACACTTATTTAGGTTATCCATTCTTATTCAAACTAATCATTTTTTGCTTTCAGGAAAGCAATTATTGGTTTAATGAAGCCTTTCTGATATGATAATTGTTTCAGGTGAAAACACAAATGCCACAACCGAGCGATGATCATAGTCAATACTATAGACGACAAAATATCAAATTATGTCAGGTTCTGTCTGGTACTTCCCCAAATTGAGATTTCTTGTTTCCTTTTCCTCATTCTTTTTTCCTCTCTCATTGTTTACAAATGAATAAGCAGGTCAATTAATTAACTACTGCAGGAATTGGCTGATAAAAATCTTTTAATTGAACGACTTCTCAGTGAGAAGACTGAAAACAATAAAGAACATGGTAGCGCTTTTCGAAAAGTTGAACCAAAAAGGTTACAAAATAATTATAAAAATCCTTTAAAATACACAATAATTACACTACCGTTTTTACGGATAATAACAATTTTATGGAAATGAGGTAATCAGTTATACTTAATTTGGATAATCTTGAAGTTGCTATCTAATTCCAACAAATTGGATAGGATTTTGGAGATGAATGTATTTCAATTTTTTCATCTGTTGAGATGAATGTGCATACAAACACTTCAGGTTGACATCGACAATAACAAACACTGAAAGGAAGAATCATCACGCTCAATCACATTCATGGATACCATCGGAAGGAACATTAATGTGAATGTTGCTATGAATTAAATGTTTAACAAAACTGAATAAAATGAAATAATTTGAAAATTCATTTTCAATTTCCTCTCACATTTTACTAAAGACAGTAAACTTTTCTAGACATTAGCAAACAATATGCAAATATGTCAACTATTTATTTGATAAAAATGTGATAGAGAAATATACTATTTACTTTCAGATGAATCTGATGACTGATTTAACGATTCATTCATTTTATCAATTTGATCCATTTTTCCATTCACTTTAAACCGCACTTTTACTAATCATTCTCTTTTTCTATTTCCGTTTCTTATTAATAAAATTTGTTGCAAGTAATGCGAACGATCACAAAATACAGTTTAAATCGAAAAAAAAAAATGTTGGCTTTTTCTTCTCATTCCAAAAATCTCTTAGTTTGAGGATTGAAAAAGATGCGGGAAAAAATTAAAATGAAGCTTTTTTATGATTAATATTATCTAGAAATGAAGTTCAAGATCAACAAATTAGTATCAGGCATGGACAAGTTATAAGTCAGTAAGTGAGCTATCATAAAGCAGATATAATAACATATTAATCGCTTTAGATTTGGCATCATTGTATGATTCCATTCAAGAATTAATATTTTATAAATATCATTCATTCTCATAATTGGCATTATACATAATCTCTTCAAACAGAGTACATTAGTCTTCTCAAAAAACATTTTGAAAAGACTAATGTACTTCGCCTACCTGTATAAAAATAGATTTAACTCACATTTAAAATTCCCATTACTGTGATGTTAGTAATTTATTGTCAGAGTATAAATTGAGAGGCAATTTAATAGGCAAAACATAATATGCTATCTCCCTGAAATAATATCCACTCACAGAATATTCAGAAAACAACTACTGCGTTTTTTAAACTAAATTAGTTTTAGAAAAGAGTCGCAGAGATCTGCGTTTTATTTACAAGTAAAATCTAAATCAAGATTTTTATTTCTAGATTAATACTTGGGTTTTTAATAAAAATTTCGTTCACGCTTAAGCACCCCTGATCCCAAGAAGCTAAAAATCTATAAGTTCAAAACAAATTTTGAGAATGAAAAATTACTGCTTAAAATTGATATTGAATACACTTCTATTTATCTCAAGCATCATGATAAAGCACGGATTAATGATTATCTCAAGCATCATGATAAAGCACGGATTAATGGTTATCTCAAGCATCATGATAAAGCACGGATTCTGGGTGGATACTATTTCTAAAATCACAAGCTACTGCTGAAAAATGAAGTATACAAGTCATAAATGAAAGCTAGAAAGTATATAAACGAGCTGAAAGCATTAATAATGAATAATATATCGATGAATAAGCCAACCTGCGAAATGAATACAAAACCAGCCTTAATTTCTAATTTCATTAATAAATTTGTATTTCAAATGATCTCTTACATTATAGCCAGATGATATTGATTCTATGCTTACCTGTCTTTTCCAATAATAATCCAATCCGCATAATTTAGCAGTTTCAGATGTATGCTATTCATTCTACATATGTTTTTTTTTAGCACGAATGCTCTAAAAACTACATGTACGGAATGAACAGCGTACATCTCGCAGTCTAAATGAAGACATCGAATTTTTTTACAAAAAGAACCGATAATCATTTTCGTACAATGCTTTCCTATCATTAATGACACAAATTATCACATACAAGTTAACAATTTCACAAAGTTTATGAGCAGATAAACTTTCATGTTTAAGACATATTGTATTATTAGAAACAGCAAAAAACCTTCATTTTTGTAATTTGAAAAAGAAAATGGATGACAAAATTACAAACAAATTTGCGAAAATATTACTTTTTTTGTTTTATGTCTGTCGGCAATTTACTAAGTGTCTGGTTTGTAAGAGTTTCACTGCTAATCTTTGTCGAATCAACCGAAAGCTTTTGCTTGATAACCTTTGCCGGATCTATCGAAAGTTCTAGGTCAGGAGGAGTGGCTGATGAAGAATGTGATGAAGGAGGAGGATAAGGTACAGTTCCCGCTAGGAATGCTTTCACTGCCTCAATATGTTCCTCTTTCTTTAGCATTTCTACAATTGTCTTGATCTGTTCTGCAGTTAAACGAAGTTCTTTATGACTTCCGAACAAAGCGAGTGCCTGCAATACACCCCCATTGCTAGCACAGATACACTTCTTTATTATCTTTAACTAATTAAAAAGAAAGTGAAACAGGTATTTGAACCAAATGATCCTGTAACTTAAATTATCGATTCCTGAACTGTAGCCCCGTTGAAGAGGATACGCTGTATTATAAATTATTATCATGATGGCAAGTAAAATAAACCAAAATTTAAGACATACGTGTAGGACGAGATTAGCATCTAATACACCATCGCTATCTTCATCAAGAGCTTGTAATATCTGGAAAATAACTGCTTTAATAAATATATTCTAATAACAAATAAGCCAGTTTTCGGTTGCTTTGATTTAAAGATCAAAAAAACATACTTTTCGAAATTCCTCCCTATCTTCCTCGCTCATCTTTTGTAAGGTTTGCATTTTATCGATCAGATCCTCTACTCTCATCAATCTCTCCCTGCAATTAGCGAATTTTATTTGATATATAT